AACTGATCTTGAAAGTGTTCCGCCCAACGAGCCATACGGTGCTCCTTATTGTGTATCAGTACACCGGCGCTCTCTCTGGTTGTCTCAGTGATGCCTGGTTTCCTGGGACCAGTGGTTCGCATCAGCTGGAAGAGCTTGCGGTAATTCCCTACTGCTCCTGCCTCCTTCATTTCTTGTTCCCTACTGGTCCACCAGGCTTCCTTGTCAGCACGTAGCTCCGGTTTAGTTCGCGCCTAATAGCCCGTCTGGTCACATTGTGCTCAGAGCCAGCCTGGAGGTTCCCTCTAGAATTCAACAGGTTCATTGACCTCTAGGATATCCAGTAACTGGTGCGGTGACCATTGATAGTGCCACAAGCAGATGCTCCTGCGTCGTGCATGGCGGACGAGATCTTATTCCACTGAAGCTCAGTGTCATTAGAACAAGACAGCGAATGTTCGGTAAGCAGTGCATCTTGATAAGCTTGTCTGACCGAGGGCTGGGACAATTTCTCAGTTGCCAATAGAGGGAGACGCTTAGTACGCCTGCCAGTAAAGTTCATGGAGAAACGACAGCGTACCAAGGCATGATCAGAGTCGACGAAGGTATTCCAGTACGAGCGGCAATCGAGGATAGAATCACGCCACCTGTAACTTATGGCAATGTAGTCAATTTACGTCCATCACTGGCCAGCGACAGGAGGACGCCAAGTGACACCTCGGCGCCCACTGTCTAAAAGCAGTACTACTAAGAAACAACTGGTGCTCCGCACAGTTGCAGCAGACGCACACCGTTGTCAGTCCGTTCGGAGTTAAGCCCATAATTACCACCCAGCTGAGCTTCTGAACAGCTCATACGCCCTACTTGTGCGTTCATAGCCCCTGCAAGTACTGTAATATCTGAACTAGTAGCACTGCGTAGTAGCGCGTTCAATTCGTGATAGAATGTCTCATTGACAGCATTAGAACTGCAGTCGGTGGGAGCATAAGCGGAAATCACAAACAAACAGCGTTTCGTACTACTTCGTGAATCAACCATAGCTGATGTCGTCAAACGGGCTGCACATAAACGGCTGTTCACCGGAATCCAATCAACCAACGATGGCTCAGTCTTGGAGCTTAGAATGATACTTACACCAGCTTGACCCGTGAGTACTGCATCGGCGTCTCCGGATGCGTGCAACCAATAACGAGAGGATAAGCCGGGTGCAGTTAATTCAACAACCCCACTATGGTCATTGATCCTAGTTTCGGACACACAACACACATCAATACCCAGTGTGTCCAAGGTGCGTGCGAGTGCACTCTGTTGACCTGTTTGTCTTAGAGTGCGAACCTTGAACGTCGCCACAGAAACGGGACAGCGTGGCCTTATAAGGGACTGTTGCCGATAGGCGTCCAGTGCGTATCGCGAGATGGTGGCTGCAGATGGTTCTACTCCGGTGTTATTTCGGTTGCTGCCAATTAAGCTGGGAATTATAGAAGGAAGGTTAGTAATGGGGTTCGGGATGGGAGTAAGAGACACAGGTGAAAAAAAGAAAGAGAGGCGCCAGCAGTAGATTGTTTTCGCTTATCCGTCCTGCTGTATGCAGCAGATAAGGCGAGGCTTGAAAATCTGTGCGACGGCCGATGCAGGATGAAGTTTATGTTTGAAGAAAAAGTCATGGTTGTATGTGGGCTGGGATAATGCCAGGGCGTCCAGACCTAAAAAGGAGGAGTCAAAATCCTGTCCGCAAGGAAGCGGGGAGATGGCAGTGGCTTAGTTTTTCAGAAATGTACGCCATCCCATTTCAAACCCCCAACCCGGAGGACCAGGAGACTAAGTTTGTCTGACCTCTCATCAATGACCAACCTGGTAGGAGTAGCTCTCAAGGGGTCCGGAGGTATCACCCAGTATAGCTTAATGGGTCAAGAAGGTACGCAAACCGTCGCACCACGTTAAGGTCCAGTCTCGTTGCGACGGGGAATGAATGAAGTGGACTGCATACTGTTGCTGAGATATTTAGGTGGCTGGGTCATTTGTGGCGTACGGATTCGACGCGGATACCGAAACAGCTGCTGTATGGCCAACTGAGTGCAGGGAGGCGGCGCATGAGAAAAGCGAAGCTGCGTTACCAGAACATAATGTAAGTGAGCATATTATGTTCTAATGTTGATTACAGGTGTTGGGAATCGAAGGCGGTTGATCGGCGTGCATAGCGCGATCTGATCACGAAGGCAGTTGCGGAAGTGCATAGGAAAGCCCTCCTGCGTGCAGAAAAGAAGCGGCAAGTGCGGAAGCGACAGCCGTCGATGAGCTGTACCCCATCGACATCAAGCGCGTGATGCTGTAACACGTGCGGTCGAGAGTGCCTGAATCACGCAGGTCTAGTGAGCCACGAGCGAGGCCACTCAGGACCAGCATCGAAACGAAAGACAGGTGCTGCTGAGAACGTAGGTAGAACCGGCGTAGCGTTGGTAGGTACGCTGTATTCGATTTACTAACGGCATGCTTGTGTACTGATGTTGTTTAGTTCAGGTAGCAGGTTTGCTATATTTTGTTAATATTTACCTATTAATTTGTAAATAGTAGGGGGTTTATTGGGTATTTCGTGAAGATACGTCGCAATTAGACCCAGGTAGACGGCCAGCACACATCGAGGAAAACGCCAGACGGCCGTTTTGTCCTAGTGGGACTCGTCAGTAGCGTGCACCCGCTGAATCCTGCCGGATTCGAGCCCACGGTCATACTCTTGCGGGCCAGAGACTCATGCTACTGAGCCCTGAACGACGGCAGCAGACTGCGATGACTGATATCCAACTGCGATATAGCGCGGCTCATCCTCCATTGTCATGCATGCAAAGGAAATCGTGGCTCCGGGGGCCAACCCTGTCGTCTGCACGTTCATAATATGCATGACAGTGGAGGATGAGCCCCGCTATATCGCAGTTAGATAGCAGTCATCGCGGTGCGCTGCCGTCGCCCATGGCTCAGTGGCATAAGTCGCTGGCTCGTAAGAGCAAGGTCGTGGGCTCGAACCCGGCGGGTGCAGGCTACTGACGAGTTCCAATAGGACAAAATGGCCGTCTAGCGCTTTTCGGGATGTGTGGCGGCCGTCTGCCAGAGTCTAACTGCGACGAATCTTCACAAATAACTTACCTTTGTACCTCATTTTAATGTATATCCGGATAATCTTCTATTCACTTAAACGCGTTGCTTAAACGATAGTGCTTTGTTCGTTAATTTTATTCGCGTTTGTTGCATAGGTTTTTTGACTTCTTTTCCCGCCATTTTGAATTTAAAGCGGATATGTTGATAACACATTTATTCCATATGCTTATTTAGCCAAAAGTTAAGTAGGCACATCCGTATGCTGTATCCGATTTTTGTTTATTTAATATCGTCATTTCAAATGACTGGCATCCCAATTTGGCTGCGCTTGATGTGCACGCTGACATGGTGCATAGTTGCCTATTCCTCACCACTCGTTAATAGTAGCTCTAGACAGTTGGTCATTGCTGGGGAAGACGGAGTGAAGGGTCTACGTGATTGTAATAGGTTCAAAGAGTGGTTCCATCCAGTGAGGAACAGGCTGCGTCCTGCCACTACCATGCGTACGTAAGGTACGCATGATTCCACAACTAAGCACACAGAAATACTGCTGCTGTGCATGTTGAAAGAGCGTGGCCTGGCTCCGTTGGTGAAACATGGCTCCCATCCACGTGCGTCCCGGTCTTATTTCTTCGGGTTTATATTGGATATCATGTGTTTGAGTGGAAGTATGGGTGGTGCAGCGCAAGCCCCCCATGGTCCCTCTGTAGGCGCAGGCGTTCTGAGGCTGTCCTATGGAGATCGCAGTAATAGGCAAATCCGGAATCGGATGCCGCACCCATATATGGGCGGGTATCTGTAGTACCAAAGCAATCACCTGATCCTGTCCATACTCAAAGCGGACCCCAGGTTAGGTGACATGATTCCTCCGCGGAGGCAGGCATGCGCCATATGGTGTGTGGGAAGCAAGCTGTGCATTGTGAACTAGAAGACACCTCCGACAAATTAATTTGGGAGATAACGGGTTAAACGTCGCCCACATAAGCTGGTGGTAATTGCATGTAGAGTTCGTTCGAACCGACATGAACGAAGCGCACATTGTTCTGGATAAAGAGAGTGTGGTAACAGTGAGCGAACAGCACGCGTGAGTCAACAAACCCCAGCTGGTGACGCGCCGTGCAATGGTAGCGGAAACCCAATCAAGTGCTGCCCATGTGGGCTGACAGAAACTGAAAGGGTCGGATAGACGACGCAGAATTAATGCAGCATAGCATGTACGAATCTCACAATGATTCCAGACAAAGTGGGTTCGGATTGGTGTGGGGAGCAACGACAGAACAGCGAGTGCGGGCTAATGAGCTAAAGCAAAAAGCATAGGACGATAAAAGGGACCAACCAGTGAAAAGCAGCGACAATAAAATAGAGAGTCAAATGCAAGCATCGTACAAATGATCCTACAGATCAGGAAGGACAGATTTCTGAGTGCGGCCGTGACGTTTGGAGGGATAGAGTTCAGTTCAGTAGGTCAACTATGATGAGAGCACGGAATTGCGGTGGATCCAGTTGCAAGAATAGCAATAAATAACAACGGCGAGATAGTAGGAGTAAAGGCAAAGAAAGTAAAGAAAATGGAAGAAGGAAGTGCAGTCAACTAATCAGGGTGGAACAAAAATTAACAACTTGATGCAAGAAACTGAATGCAGGAGCGCCACGTACTGCGCGACTGCGTTATGTCTGATATGCTCTCTAACTCTTGGTGTAGACCATCCCTAGGTCCCCATCCACGAAAACGGCACGCATCCGCCTGACCAAGTCTCTACCGGAGGGCTACGCGAAGCGAGGAACAGAGGTAATGCAACGCTAGCTTGGATTATTAATGACGATTGGCTTATTTAAGCTAACTCCAAGAGTGTAATAAACAGGCGAGAGTGAGAAAAATAAAAATGCAAGGGCTTGGGAGAGCTTTTCGGTAAACCAGTTTAATGTCCTACCTTATTTTTGGTCTTTTCAGCCGCAGCCAACCTGGCCCTTTCCCAACGAGGATATGATCGTTCGGGATTCGGAGTCTCCCGAACGGACCGTCGGTACTGAGATTTTGGCGTCTTACGCTCTGCATCCGCAATTGTGACCAAAGCATCTGAACCCGATGTACTCAAATTACGTTTGGCATTTGCCGATTTATACTGCCGGGTGGGTTCCGTACGACGACGCTGTTGGGTCGCCGGGTTGGAATGTTTCTGCGCGGCTCGTGAAGGGGTGCCTTTAGTAGAGTTTGAAACGGAAACTGATTTGTCTGTAGGAGCTTGTCTGGATAAAGAGAGCAAAGAGAACGTAATAATTTCACATACAATTGGGGAACCTATAAACACACTACTGCTTGCCTAACGAGTCACTCAGGAAAGAATAGGGACAGAACTGTCGCATTAGTTGGTAACAAGACATAGGGACTTGAGTGGTTAGTGCCAGATGTAGTCCTACCACCAAAGAAGTTTCATTGTGACAAATGTTACAGCAGATGATCTGAACAAAGTAAAGACATACGAATATAATGAAATGAAGGCGATTGTACAGCGATACGAACCACGAATAAGTGCAGGTAGAGGCAAACATACAGAGGGAGGGAACTCTCGACTAACGTCGTATGCGGATAAAGTGAATCGTATAAGGACTAGCTGGATACTTTGGTGGGTGACCATGAGAAGCAAAGACCAGAACCACAGTCGCCAGAGTAACGCGAATTGCGGGGAGTGCAAATGAGGCCCAAGAAGAGAGGGGCATCAACATTACGCCGGCACACCGCACCGAAACTTCGCAGCCATGCACTTAACAACAACCAGGCAACGGCCTGGTATATCAGGAGGTTAATTGCACCTACACGGATTTGTACCGACGACCACAGGAATACAGCGCAAGCGCAAAATCTTCCAGTCACCGGAAGACGAGGCAAACTAGAGATAGGATTAAATGTGTGCGAGGAAGCAACTGTGTAGAAACTCAAGAAGTTAGCATTAGATCCTGTATGTACTAAGCAGTGGAACTATTAGAAGGCGACGAAGACAAGCAGTTATAAGCAGTCTCAAGTGCAGAGTGTACTGGATGTCTTCTGTAGTTCATACCAGATGGAAGACGTCATAGAGTCAACCGCTGGTCTTGAAACCTTAGTGGTTTGCAATCGGTATTGGCTGGCGTAAACCGGTCCCGGATTTGCCTGTCACTGTGGCCTCGACAGGACAGCCACAAGACGCCTGTGACTACACAGGGAGCATAGGTGGGTTGCGCTGCATCACCCACAACTCCATCGATACACCCCATATGTAGTGTAAACCAGAAGGAATAAGACCAGGAGGCATGTGGATGGGAGCCAGGTTCCACCAACGGAGCCGGCTCAAACTCTTTTACAGGCAAAAACAAGCATGCTGCATGTGGAGAAGCATGCATACATAAGACGGTGGCTAGACCGTTGTCCGCTAAGACAAGGTAAATGGAACCACTCTTCAAACTTAGTACGGTCAAGAGGACCGTACACCCCGACCCCTCCAGTAACGACCAAGTGTCTCCTGGAGCCAGTATAGACGGGTAGTGGGTAATAGACAGGTATGCACATTGTCAACATTCACATCAAGTGTAACCACACCGGAGATGTCAAAAAACAGTCATGAAAGAAAATGTCGAATAAAATAGATCGAACACACCGCACGGATATGTCGCTAAAATACCACATAAAATAAATGGATTATCAAAATAGCCGTGAAAGATTTAGGATGGCAGAAAAAGGAATCAAAACACATAAGGAGAAAAAAAGCGAAGTTAACCACCTTTAGTTTAAGCGAAATGTGCAATTTGATAAACTACTCAGGTACACGTTATAAGGAGGGGACAAAATAACACTAACAAAAGATAACATTAGGATAAGGTAGCAAACCAAACACCAGAAATAAAGAAACTCAGCACGCAAGCACGCGGTTAGTAAATCGAATGCAACGTATCTACCAAAGCTGCGTCGATTATGTCTACGTTCACAGCAGCACCCGTCGTCATTCCGATGCTGGTCCTGAGTGGCCTCACTCGTAGCTAAGTAGGCCTGCCTGACTCAGGTAGTGGCGACCGCATGTGCTACAGCACCAAGTGCTCGAAGTTGATGGAGTACAATCCGTCGGTGCCTGTCGCTTCTTCTCTGCATGAACGAAGACTTTTTCTTGCAACTCGTCAACGGTCTTTGCGATTAGACCGAGCAATGCACGCCGATCAACCTCCTTCGATACCCAACATCGAAAATCAACATTAGAACGTGATTAACTCACCTTGATCATGTCCTGGTAAGGTAACTTCGACTTTCCCACGTGCCGTTTCCATGCACTCAGTAAGATAGAAAGCTGCTGTTTCGGGATCCGCGTCGAATATGCCCGAGTCACATCAGGTGCCTTAACATAATTACGCAAACCACTGCATACACGCCACTGCATCAGAGCACCTCCGTCACGTCAGCCGAAGCGCATAATACGGCGCAGACACTGTTGATGGAAGCACTTCATATATCGGACATCCTACCGATAAAGCGTCCAGGTTTCGCTGCCGTATAGAAGCAGAAAGTATAGCACCATAGACTTATACACCAACAGCTTCATCCCGACAGTGAGCTGGTGGTTGTTCCACATACGACATTCCACCTTGCCAAAAGCAGCAGCCGCCGTCAAAACGCAGCGGCGCAGCGCGCTCGTCATTTCCAGGTGGGTTGTTATTATGCTCCCAAGGTAGGAAAATCTCGGAGTGGTTTCCAACCCTTCGTCGGTAATCTGGATTGCATGCAGGCCCACAGACTCTAGTTCGTGTGAACGCTGGAAAAGACAAACAGACTTGCGTAGGTTGATGGTGAGCCCGAATTTGACCGCTGTCGAAGCCAGAGCACTAGGCAGGTGCTGCAACTCATCCGCGCTGTGCGCAAAAGAACGCACAATCGTCAGCAAACAGCAACGTACGGCTAGTTGTCTCACAGAGTGAGGTTCTCGCACCGAAACGACGGATGTTCAGCAACGCACCATCAATATGGTGCTCCACAGATACACCGTGAGCACAAGTGGCATCAAAAGCACAAGACATCATTGCATGAAGACACTATATTAACAGGGCAGGAGCTAAGACATAGCCTTGCTTTACACCAGAGATAACTGCAAAGTCATCCGAGGTCGGTCCAGTCAGCTGCACTCTCGCCCGCATACCACTGTGCAGACATTCAATTCGACTTGCAAACTTACTCCGACAATCAAGCTTACCTAACACCAGCCACAGTGCCTCGCGGTTCACCGTATCAAATACCTTGGTAAAATCATTAAATAGCGAATACAACCGCTGGTGTCGTTCTCTACAGTTCTCCTGCAACTGACGGGCTGAAAACATCATATCTATAGTGCTGTGACCAGAACGGAATCGACATTGCTCTTCCGCCAAGTTCGGTTCCACAACCTGACTGGTGAGACGGTTGAGCGGAATTCGGGCAAGCACCTTGCCCACACAACAGCAAATTGATGCCACGATAATTCGTGGTGAATTGTTTGCTTCTCTTGCCCTCGTACAGTGGTAGCACAAGGGCATCCTTCAGATCAGGAGGCACGTCCTCCTCAATCCACACGCATTGCACCAAATGGTGCAGCGCAGTCAGCAACGAGGGTCCGCCGTGTTTCAATACTTCAGGCGGGATCACATCGGAACGGGCAAATCTGTAGTTTTGCAGTTGATCAAGTGCTCTCTGCGTCACACCCAGTGTCGGCATGTCCGCCAAACTCACCATCATCTCGTGTTGCTTCAGGCAATTCAAGGTGGGCCAGTCAATTTCCGAATTGTTCAAGAGACAGTGAAAGCGTTTCTGATAGATCTGCATTATGTTTACAGTTTGTGTGCAGGCAGTGTGTGAACACCATCGAGCAGCGTCACCAGCGGCTCCAGTCTCAGTCCTTACACTACCTTCAAAGTGTCAAAGTGTCATTGGGTTAGCGGCGTTCGGCGCAGCATTTCATCTGCTTCGCTTTCACTGTTCACCATGCATTTTTAATGCGAAGGAGCTCTCGAGTCAGTCGGCGTCGAATTCTGCGAAACTGACACTTCTTCCGCAACAAAATAAACAGCAATATAAGCAGCAATACATCACCATCAGGACGGTTGCTTCACTGCCATACAACCACGATGACTTAGGAACTAAAGAATAATAATAGTGAGAGAAGAGGGACGGATCTAAGGAGACGGCCAAAGGAGTAGGGCGCTCATTAAACCGATGGAGAAGCTGGCAATTCTGATTCAGTAAACTGATGCTCATAGCGTTTGGCCCATCACTCCAACCGTTTTCATAGGCTGCGAATCGGCTGTCCACTCTCGTCAGATATGGTCTCGCTAACACCAGTTTTCCTGATTCCCGTTCCTCGTATTAGACGGAAGAACTTCCGAAGGTTACGAAGGGCAGCGACTATCTCCATCTCCAAGGCATGATGAAACCACCAGGCTAGCACGCAGTTTCGCCTTAAAAGCATCGCAAATCTCACTGTATTCGCCTCTAGTCGGAACACGTCAACGAGCATCCAGGTGTTCTAGAAACTACGTGGAGACTTAATGTCTAGTTTAGCAATTTGATTTGCCACATGAAAACGCCCACTGCTAATAACATGTAGCGAATGCGCGAGCTGTGATCATCAACGGTGTTCAGTGGGCGCTTACTCAGCCCGGATGCCAGCGTATTTTGATACGCATTCAAAACATCTGGTTTTGCCAGTTGCAAAGTAGTTATGCGCTCACAGCGCCGTTACGGAAGTCCACTGAAACGCACCAGCTGGTCGGTCCAAACAAGTGCGGAGTCAAAGTCCACGCTCGTGCTCCAAATCGAGTGACAGTTTTGTACGCATCCTCTGCAGCGGTAACTGATCTCGATATGACCGATTTGCGTCTACGGCTGGTGGGCGCTATGTCACTCTTCTACGGGTACTGTGTAGAAAAGTAGTGCCCACAAGAAAGAGACGAAAATCTTCACGCAAGTGTGGCAAACGTTCACCGTTATGATTACGGGAGCCTACACCGTGTTGGCCACCCAGATGAAGCTCGGTGGTGGAGTTTACAAACTTAGGCGTTCAGATTGCCAGCCAGCCCCACAGTATGCGTACTTCATCGGTAACGAAGGAGCCCTTTTAATTGGTGATAGATGTCGTCTTACGCCGAGTCAGCGCTACAATTTGTGGGCACGTAGACCGCAATGACAAGCAAGCACCGTTCGTCCCCACGCGACTTCGATGCATCGAACAGGTCAGCCAACTTGACAACGCATACCC